CCTCCCTCCCTCCCTCTCTCCCTTCCCTCCCTTCCCTCCCGCCCCTCAAACCAAGCAAAAGCAGGGAAAAAAAATAACCAAAAAAAACAAAAAATCCTCGAAGAATTTCTGATCCTTTGGGCACCATACCACACATCAGGGGAAGCCACCCGGCACAGCTCTGCTGTGTGATCGCACAGTGTCGAATGCAGCAAAATGCATTTAATTAAGCCGAGAGCACCTTAGGAGTGCCGCAAAAATGCTTGCGCTGCAAGAGCATGGCACTGGCACAGCAAAATGCACTTTATGATATCACCGTGGATGCCATGGCATTCTGGCTCGAAGCGTCTCGCCGCCGCTGAGCAATGTCGGAGGCAGACTTCTGGCCCCGTGCAGGCACGATGACGCGGACACGTTTGCACGACTCCTTTTTTTTGAATCTGTCTTGCAATCACCCGCAGTCTTTTCATCGGCATCCATTTTCCATGATCCCAGGGTTTGCAAAACCCCTCATTCCAGCTGTATGTCCGAAAAGCCAAAGACACAAAAAGGTGATCGGCGAGGGTGCAATTCGAGAGAAGTGTGACTGTTGCGTCTGCTGCACCACTGAGAGGTTCAGAGCATGAGCTGAGGAAACCGGAGGAGGTAGGATTCGCGGCTGCGCTGTGACATGCGCATCACGCCAGCCCCAACCTCGGAAGGCGCGTGGCTCAGCTGCGCCAACACAGTTGCAGCACGGTCTGGAAAAAAACCAAACAATGACAAAGACAAGCGAAGCAAAACAAGCAACATCGACTATGAACTGCTGCATCCCGCTGCAACTCTGTCAGCCAAGACTACCTCATCTTTGTTTAGCTACCCCGAATACCCGCCTCCAAGTTTGCCTGGCAATCATCATGAGAGGCTGCATGCCTCCGGAACGCTCGCCCTACAAATCCACTTGCTGCCACTGATTCCGAACTGCTTCGGCTAGGCAGCAATACATTGGCTTTGTTTAGTGCAGGTTGCAGAACATCGATCGTATGTTGCCGCATCTTTCTTGCGAGATTTGTTCGTGAGCGGGCTTCATAACACGCATACTTAATACTTTGCCGCAGCCTTTGGTATGCGCCCTCTCTTCCCTCCCTCCCCTTCCTTTCTCGATGCGTTTGCTACATCAAAATGTGAAGTCTACAGGGGACAAAGCAATTGCAAGATTATGGCAGCGAGGAATCAAAAGCATAAACATGTTTGATTTAACTTGCGCCTGGAGCTGAAAGTTCTAGTTTCCCAAATGCACGGTCGGTGCTCAAGTCTTACTAGTTTATTCACACAGGATCGCGGTGGACACTGGTCTGCGGGAGTTTATTTGTACTTGGCGGAAGGAATTTCGCCGACCTGCTGAATCGCAGGAGTATTTGGGGCTGGAAAGCATGTTGAGCGTGCCCCTCCTCCTGAATCACGTCAGCACCCCTGCTCTTCTCACAGGGCAAAAGTAGACAAACCTAAAACACGGCCCAGCACAACACGATACTGTCGCTGCGCTGCAGTGTATCTCTTCCCCCATGCTCCGGACAAGACGCAGGCCAAGACAAAACTCTAGTCTACGTGTGCTGCCCGTCTGAATGGTGTCACCAGCCGTTGCCCAACTGCGGTTCACTTGTTGGCCCTCGCTGCCACCGCCTCCTTCCAGGGCCTGTTGACGGAGCGCGGCTTGGCAGCAAGCGTTCTTCGACGGCTATGAACAATCCCGTGGGGAGTTCTGCCCAGTCTTCTAGAACAATTTCGGTCCCGAACGTGCGGGCAACATCGAGATCTGCAACGAAGTGTCGAAGCTACTGTGCGTGTGGGAAAGCGCACTTCTGGAGCTCAGAAGTAAGACCGCCTGGACTCCAAGCTGGGCATCCGAGAGCGGCCAGTGTGGAATGTTGAATCTGCTGCAATGCGAGCTGCAGTTGAAACCTGGATTGCTTTCAAATTGGACCAGGTGGAGGGCGGGGCGCCAATTGCAGAAGTTTGCGAGAAGTGACGTCTTTGGAAGACGCCCATGCCGAAGCAAAGGGGGCCGTATTCGCCGGATGTCCTGGCAAGGCAACAACGACGCCGAAGATCTCCGTTTGGCCATCGCAGCCCAGGGCTGCAAGGGACTTCGCGCGTTCACGTCATGTGCGATCCCGCCATTCGACCAGGACATGGCTGCCAAAGTCTTGCGTGGACACTTCGCAAGCCCAAAAGTGCTACTTCGATTGGTGCGAGGTCCACGCCATCGCCAGAGAAGCGAGAGGACAGCAGCCGAAACGGCCGTGCCTCGGCGTAGTTCGCCGTCTGCGTGTCCAGGCGGACACCACCGGCTCCGCTGCCACCCTCGGCGCCACAACAAATGTGCGACGATATGTCAAAGCCGATATTTTATGCCCCAAACGAATCGACCAACGGTTGCACAACCAATTAGAATCGAAAGCACCGCATGGATCGCAACTCAGAGAGCCAATGCGAAGCGGCATTTTCTTGCAGATTGCCGTGCAGGTTGGCAGTCGTTGGTTGTCCCAAAGCCAATGTATGAAATCTTAGCCGCGCATGTAGTTGCCAGATACTGGGACCTCAACCCGTCACTTTTGCAGGTGAGGCATGCGATGAGTCAAGAAGGGCCTTTCAAGATAGTCATCCTGGGCGAGGTGGGAGCTTTTCGTTTCGATGTGGCGTGTGCTCTCCTTCATCCCACGTCGACTGGAGGGGCGTGTGGGCAAGACATCTTTGTTGCGGCAGTTCGTCTCGAAAACTTTCAGCGAACATGAGGTGCAACTCGAGACTTCTCAGTTCCTGGTTCATGCTGTCGGAGCAAGGCTTCCACTCAGTCTGCGGCCTACCTTGACAAGATCCTCCAGCTTCGAGGTACACAGGTGCATCCGAGCATAGAAAAATCTGAATCCGTCAATCCTGCTGCGAGCGACAAATTCGAACAGGTTCAACTTTCCCTTTGGGACACCGCTGGGCAGGAGCTCTCAATCCTTATGCTTCGCTGCTTCTGGCGACTCAATCCTTCTGCTTCGCTGCTTCTGGCGACTGGATGTCCGTTTGCGGGCCTTCATTTGCAAGGAGCGGTTCCACTCGCTGGCACCTATTTATTACCACAATGCTGACGGCCTGCTGCTGAGGCTTTCATGAAGAAACTTGGAGTGTGCATGCCTGCCGAGTCGAACTCAGGTGCCCTGCTGGTTTACGATATTACGGATTTGGACAGCTTTAGGCGCCTTGCATGGTGAATGTCGCAGACTTGATCACAGCATCAGCTGCTTTCCTGAGATTAGGCGAGTTGCCAAATGGGTTGAAGAGCTTCAGGTGATGGTCAGGAGCTGATGGACGAGCAGTGCTAGACATGCGTTGCACTCTTTCATGTTGCACTGAGGGCACGAAGTGTGTCCTGGCGATTGTTGGCAATAAGTCAGATTTGCAGTCGCAGGCAGAGCAGAACTTTGCCATTGAGCCTCATGCGCCGACTGTTTCGATTGTGACGTGTGCAGGCCAAAGTGCCTAAGGCCGATGCGGAGACCTACGCCAGGCTTGCGAAGATTTTCGAGAGCCACTGGCCACCAGCTCTCAGCTTGTCCTCAGGAGTATCAATGCAAGGCACAGTACAGCTGCTCGGCGTGAAAGCCTTTTAGCATCCGTTGCTTCTTTGAAAGCCAGCTGGAAGGCCTCTGCCAAGCTTGGCTTTGGCGTGGATGCCGGAACCTTACGTTTGCAAAGGCAGGTGCGGCGGCAGCAGGTGGAAGAAGGTTCGGCTTTTCACTCCGCGAGGAAGCCTTCGGAGCTTTAGCTGAAGATGCCTGATGCTCACGGTACGTGTCGTTTAGTTTCGATGACCGTGGTATACTTCATAGCTACTTCCGAGCGTCAGGTCCTAGCATCAAAAGCACGGGCTCCAAGCCTGGTCCTTGGAGGCTGAAATCCTTTGGTTTTGACGCAGAGATTTCCCCAGACTCAGGCCAGAATCAAACATCCTCCAGAAGAACACGAGGAGCGCTTGTCGTGGAGGAGGATGTTGTGCGCCCACGCCAGAAAAGCGGTTGCTGCGGAGGCCCGTCGGACGAGGAAGCAAAGTCCGCTGTTCGGCTTTCGTTCAATGTCCTGTCACGCATGTCGAGGATGAAAGCCAGAAGAGCATGAGGCCACATGAAGCAGCAGGGTGCCAGAAGTGCTTCTAGGGATGCGCGTCACGAGAGCGCATTCCCATTGATTTACCAGTCGTCTCACCATCAGGTGCCCGGTAAATTGAAGGTGGGTGCGCTTTGTTAATGGACCCGGCCAGATATGCCGACTTTCCTGTGTAAATTCAAAAGCGTCGCTCAAAACAACGAGCCTACGGACAACGTTCTCGTGGCACCAGCGTGAAACCCTGTTCTGTTTCCCGTAGTGCGGGTTCCTGCTATTGCAGCAATGATGACATGTTCGTTTCCGCAACTGACTCAGTCCCAGTATGCCATGTAGGACCAGCCCAAGTTTGTTAGTTTTTAGTCTCGGAGCCAGAAACTAACTCCGCCGGACCGGTTGTTTCCGCGAGCAGAGACGAGCTCTCTCTTGAGTTAGTTTCGGAGAGAGCCGTAGGACTAGGTTTGTTTCCGAGCCGAGGAACAAAGAAACTCCTTGAATCGATATTGTTTCTGGGAAAAGTTTTGGGGGAGAAGTGGCGACAAGATCGACAACTCCGACCTCCGACGCCGTGGACGGCTGCAAGGAGGACGAGAGGGCTGGAGGCCTTGAAGATACTACCAAGCTCCTCAACATAGAAACAATCAACATCCCAGCGTGTGACGCTTATGTGCAACTTGTTGCCGTGGACTATTCTCGTTCGCAGCGGCCTAACCTGAAAAATCTTACACATCGCAGCACCGGAAGCTGTGCAGATGCAGGCTCGAAGTGCAGAGTGCACTCCCATTGTTTTAATTTCACCTCTTCCACTTTGCTCGCAAAGCGATGACGTGCACAGTTTCTCTGAAGTTTCAATCGGGAGAGGGATGTTCATAAGACTCATAAGAGCTAAGAAGCTAAGAGCTTCATTTTTGCAATTTCGCATCCTCCTAGCCCACAAAGTGAAGACGCTTGCAGGTTTTCCCATGGTCGTGAATCTAGTACTAGTACTCGCAAAGCGAAGATATGCACGGTTTAGTTTCATTATTTCATACTGCTTAAATTTAACATCCCTCGCCTTGCGAAGGCGTGCATCTTCTCGTAAGTGTTCGATCGATCGTGGTAGTAAATATTAATGTCGATTCATGTCTATGTGATTTATATCGGCTTCGTTGTTTCCATTTTACATCTCCCCGCTTGACCATACCCGAATAAACAAATCACACCCCCAGGCGTAAGTGTTTCGCCGGCCACCCCCTGCCCACCCTGACCAAGCTCTCCGCAATCTGAGTGGTGGAAAAAGAAAGAGATCGTTTTGCCCAGCAGGAAACTAGTAGAAACAACTCGCTCCCCTTCAGTCTTTGTTTTGCTGGCCGCCAAGCCCCAGTCTGGTGCCGAGGGAAAACAATCTCCTCCTCCATCCTCCTCCGCTAGAGTTTGTTTGGCCTAGGAACAAGAAAACCCCTTCCCCATTGACGTTCCGCCCCCAAACATAAATGACAAAAGCCTACTCCGGCCAGCAGCTTGTTGTGGCTGCGAAAAAATGAAAGTTTGCCCTGCCGAGGAGAGACTATCGTTCGTGACAGGAGTTTTGCTTTGCTTGTTACCCCCTCTCTCGCGAGAAGCTGCAAATTTTAGTTTCTCGACCAGAAACAAACTCCACTGTACGTAGTTTGTTTTTCGCAGCCGAAACGAACTCTCTTTGTCAGAGTTTGTTTGTTTCTCCCCGTTCTCTCCATTCGCCAGCTGGAGGGTTGCCTATACAAATCGCAAGTTTGTTTACCCTGATGAAAACATCTTTCTACATTTGTTCGCTAGAAGTTTGTTTCTTCTAAAGCTAAGCCTCCAAACTTTCACAAGGTTTGCAAGCCGTCGCTCTAGAGCCCAAACTCAGTCGGTCGGGGACCTGATGCTTGGGGGATCAGCGAGATATTCAAGCAAGGATGAGATTGGGTAAGTCCCTTTGACGTTGGGTTTGCTTTTCTTCTCGACATTTGTGTGCAGCGTTTTTGGTTCCGAGCATCGGTGATCCATTCGTGCAGTTTCGAGCGCTTGTTGCAGCCATCTCGGCTTCACTCGTCATGGTTGGAAGTGTTTCGAGGGTGCACCATGGCTGCTGCGCCGCCGCCTTCGCGGCCGCAGCGCCCAGGCGGTCTCTGAGGGATATTGCGAGTGCTGAGAGGTTCAAGATAAGCAAGACACAATACATATGATCGTAGCGCAAGTCATGGCATGTCATGGCGCCTTGCGAATGCTCTTTGAAACTGCTGGCAATCCAGGAGCCCCACGCACAAAGTTTGTGCCGCACAGTATAGAGGACCAAGTCCGATTAGCTTACAGCACGCCCACATCTCATGCCGGAGCCTCAAGTGGTCACCTGCTTGCAACTTCCAAACTCGCAAGCTGATTGCGGGAGGTCTACCGCCCAACTGACCCGAGACATCCGGATATAGCAGAGCAGGCAACCCAGCACTCTCGAGGGACGCATTTACGATTTCCAATTTGGAGCTGGTGAGCCATGCTGCACATGCAATCACCACTTCTTTGGCCTTGCAGGTTTGCGCTCAGTGCCCCCCCCCCCCAGCTCTGGCCTTGTGATGTTTGCAGCTCCCCCTTGACGACGTTCTACTAAAGGCTAGCTGGGACTCATGCCTGAAATAAGAGCATACATAGCACCAACTGCACAGCAAAAGAGGTAGCAAGCCATCGGGGGCATCAGCAAGCCATGGAAGCCACATCGGCTGATGCAGCGGTGGCTTGGCCGGAGGATCCTTGGCTGCC